ACAGTGGGTTTATAATAAAACAATTACGACCATTAAAAAGTATGAAAGGAGCTATAGTTTAGATAGTTTTTTTTCTTAGCTGTTACCTTCAGCTTAGCAAAAAAAATATAAAATAAATCCATTTGTGGATGCCTGTCACATTTTCTTTGGGGTGGGTTGTCACATGTGGCAACTGTGACTTTGGGTGGGACTGACAAGATGAATTAAATATTATCGTTCTTCTACTGTTATACAAGGACAAAAATAAACTTATGAATTTTTAATGTTTGTTCTTATGTGATTGTTAGGCTGTTGCAATTGAATGAAATTAAACTTCTTAAACTGCATTCATTTTTATTTTTTCTATTTAAAATGACATAGGGGCATTGTTACAAGTGCACAAGATGTATTTGACAGTCCACATCTCTTGAACAGAACAGTCTTAAGGTTGCTCCATTCTTATCTGACACTTTAGGCATTCCCTTTCAATGTGTAATGTAAGCCTACAGTTTTTGAGGAATTCCTTTATAAAAGTAAAAAGTGTTATTATGCTTATATCTCATTCTTTCTAGGCTTAGAAGATAAAAGGATGGTATTGCCAAGACAATTTCCATCCCCACCCTCCTGATATTAATTATCTTGAGCACAATTTGTGCTGTTATGTCAGTTAAACTGACTGGGTGAACCCCCCCCCGCTGTTCTCTGTAAATAAACCCGAAAGCACTCCCCATTAAGTACTACACACAATGAGCTGCCACTTTATTAGTAATACCTAGGTAAAATCAATACAGTCTACTACAAAAGCCCTGCAAAACAATATACTTTGTTACAATATTCAATTTTTCATACAATCAACTTAAAAATTAATCTGTGGAGTCATTTGTAATGAAAATTTTATGTACTATAAGCTTTTCAAATTCAATAGTAAGTAGCATGCTAACATTTTAGCACATTTCCAGATGAACTATAAAATGTTAACATTAGTGTAACATGCTAAAAATGAAAGGTACAGCTCAGGTGAGTGGGAAATCACTGACGAGATGTACACAAGTCTTGTTGAAAATCTGTGCTGGAAAAATTTAAAAGGTGACCTGTAGGGAAGCCAGACACAAAAAAGAAAAATAATGGAAATCACCAAAATGTTAGTTCTGACTAAAGATACTGTAGATACTGCACACTCTGCACTGCTGTTATTGCACCTCTGGTTAGATGCTAAACTGCAATTCATTGCCTTGTACTTGTACATGGGTAATGACAATAAAGTTGAATCTAATCTAATGTTAACAGTCAAACAGTGCATCCAGAAAGTATTCACAGCGCTTACCTTTTTCCATTTTGTTAGGTTACAGCCTTATTCCAAGATGGATTACATCCATTATTGTTTTCAAAATTCTACAAACAATACCCCATAATGACAATGTGAAAAAAGTTTGAAATCTTTGCAAATGTATTAAAAATAAAAACAAAACAAAAAAAATATCGCATTTTTACGCAAGTATTCACAGCCTTTGCCATGACAATCAAAACTGAGCTCTGATGCATTGATTCCACTGATCATCCTTGAGATGTTTCTACAACTTGATTGAGTCCACCTGTGAAAAATTCAGTTGATTGGACATGATTTAGAAAGGCATACACCTGTCTATATAAGGTCCCACAGTTAACAGTGCATGTCAGAGCACAAACCAAGCCATGAGGTCAAAGGAATCGTTTGTAGATCTCCGAGAGAGGGTTGTATCAAGGCACAGATCTGGGGAAGGGTACAGAAAAATTTCTGTAAAAGGCACATGGCAGCCTGCCTGGAGTTTGCCAAAAGGCACCGGAAGGACTCTCAGACCACGAGAAACAAAACTCTCTGGTCTGATCAAACAAAGATTGAACTCTTTGGCCTGAATGTCAAGCGTCATGTCTGGGGGAAACCAGGCATCGCTCATCACATGGCCAACACCATCCCTACAGTGAAGCATGGTGGTGGCAACATCATGCTGTGGGGATGTTTTTCAGTGGCAGGAACTGGGGCTGCGTCCGAAACCGCATACTGTGACAGTACGTACTGAAACAGATGAAGTACCTACTTACTGACCGTTAAAACAGTAGGTACTGTATAGTATGAAGCCTGGTAGTATGAATGAGATTCAGACGTACTACATCCGCCATGTTGATACATCACGTGACATACGTTTTCATAGCAGCGTCTTCTTCGTTGGATAACTCCTCTCCCGGGGCATCATATCATGGGATAGTGAAGTGTCCATCGTATGCACACTGCAAAATCCAACCGGAAGCAGTAGGTCATCCGGGTACTTTTCGCCTACTGTTTTTGGAATACTACGAATCTGGACATACTACTCGCCTCGCCTACTGCTTTTCGCCTACTATACAGTATGGTAGTAGGCGGTTTCGGACGCAGCCTGGGAGACTAGTCAGGATCAAGGGAACGATGACTGCAGCAAAATACAGACACATCCTTGATGAAAACCTGTTCCAGAGTGCTTTGGACCTCAGACTGGGGCGACGGTTCATCTTTCAACAGGACAACGACCCAAAAATAGGCGTGCCAAGCTTGTAGCATCATACTCAGACTTGAGGCTGTAATTGGTACTAAAGGTGCTTCAACAAAGTATTGAGCAAAGGCTGTGAATACTTATGTACATGTGATTTGTTTTTTTATTTTTAATGAATTTGCAATAATTTCTAAAACTTTTTCCACATTGTCATTATGGGGTATTTGTAGAATTTTGAGGACAACGATGAATTTAATCCATTTTGGAATAAGGCTATAACCTAACAAAATGTGGAAAAAGGTAAGCGCTGTGAATACTTTCTGGATGCACTGTACTACTACTGTGCCACATTTAATGGCAATGCAAGCAACAGTTGTTGAGACATTTTGGTCTGGACTTAAGTAGCATGGCCAAAGCGCCAATGCCACTGAACTTGTAGCTACATTTCTGGTGTACCTTTGATGAATTTTGCCTGACTATTAGGGATGGGACAATATTTGGAAATTCAATATGCTGCAATACAAAAATGTCAATATGTACAGTTTTGTCCATTAATATCTCATGCAGTCTCCACCAGCAACTCCATATTTTTTGTAAATAAGATAGACTAACAGAACAGAAGTCAATATATCTGGTTGTTCTTTACTTAAGAGGAACAAAGTACAAGCATTCTGAAGCTAGTCAAACATTGAACTTTGTTTGATCATGACTGAATCAAATCTTACACACCATATCGTGAAAACGTCACATCGTCCCATTCCTAGTGACTATATTGAAAACTTTAGGCAAATCAGCTAAGTGATTTCTTTGTGCATCCTGTGTAATTTTCACAAAAGGGTGGTGAGGATTATAATCCAATTTACAGATTTATGCTTCAGAGGAAATAAAGAGCCATTACAAAAATAAAGAGGATGTTGTAATAACAGTTCAAAGTTGCGAAAGCACCTAATAGCCATGCCATTACATTGGGTGACTTAACTGCAATCAACACAGCTAATGTGGTTTACCGAAACATCAATGTGACTGCATTTTAATCAGTTAGCCATTAATGTTCAGGGTCTGGACGATGTGCCATATCTACTAGTTTGATAAGTTGAGAGGAATAAACTACAGTTTTCATGTTCAATGTAATAAAGAAATGTTACCTGAAAACAAAAAATGGTCACTTTGCATTTAGATTCTGGAAGACAACTAATTTCCAGGCATAAGAAATATGTTGCAGCTATGTTGGCAATAAATGCTACAGCATCTAGATGCCTGCATCAAACTGATAAGGCTAAGTTTCATTTCAATTTGATATTGGGTCCATATGTATATCCACATCAACAGTAGTTTTTATCCAGTAAAAGGAGCTTCTGGAGGATTATTAATACATGTTATAGCCACACTGACAACAAATGTTACAATGAGCAAAATATTACTGTCAGCTGTTGTACTTTTCTGCCAGCATGTGTAGATACAAATATAGAACAGTGTTAAGTATTTCAAGAAGTACCTAAATACTCAGAAGAGTGTTACCCCATATGCTACTGGAATCTTGTTCTGCTTCTGATTATTTGGCTGCACCACCAGTTTAACGACTTTTCTTTCACCGATTTGCTCTAATGTTACAGTTTTATGGACTTTTGTGCTTTTTATTCCACTCATTTGTCATTACTCATGGAATAAACCACTGTGATAGCAACACTGTCATTTGACTGCATGGTATTTTATAAAGAGGGCGAGCATTTGAAATAAGTTTATGTAACACAGTAAAATGGTTTCCAAAACAGGCAACCAGACAAAAAAAAAACAAAAAAACAAAGTTGACAGAAGTCCAAATTTGGTTGCCTGAGGACACTGGGCAACTGTTAAGGTGGAGCCGTGTGTGTACTTAAACTATTTAAAAACTCTGCGTCATGTTATTCATTCTATGCCATCTATACAGAAAATAATATTAAAAGCCCTGTCAGGGTAGGACAGTTCAATATCAATGATTAAATACGTGGTGATTTATGTGACAGATTAAATATTCTTTTAAAAATTACAAATAAGCCCACCAGTGTGCTTGAAAGAAGATAAGGGTTTCCCCCTTAAGCTTTCACTTTGCGGGACAGTGAGCCAATAGAAACACTGAATTATAAGGCCAGGAAGAAGTGTGAAAGCATGCAGAATCAGATCTTTAGTGAAGTTTCCCCTCCTATGGTTGTTAGCCATGTTCCGCTTCTTGAACTGTCAGCCACAGTTTGAAAATGATTAACTATACCTAGCATAATTTTCCACTGCGTGGACTTTTGTCTCAAGTTAAACTTTAATTCAGTCAACTACTAGAAACCTCATACCTCGCATGCTTAACATTAGCTAGATTTCCAGAAGTGTCTTCCCACATGACTGCTAACTTCCTCTGAAATGACACAAAACGTGCTAAAATCTAAGTCATAAGTAGACTGGTGGTGTAACGGCACTCTCTTCTAGCAGTATGCACGCTCAATCCTGTGTTTAACGGTTTCCATATCAAATACATCTTCGCTGTCAAAGAAGGCCCACACAGTCACATTTGTATTTAGCTAACCAGCTAGCGCACTGACTGCGACGCATGACTATAAGTTACCACCTGTGCAAAGCTATTACTTTGTTGGAAGCTAACGAACAGCACGAATTTGTTGAATCCTAATCCACAACAGCTTCGAAAAAGAAAACTGCCATGTGCAAAACATCCCACAAACCCGTCATGATGCTTTCTAACTGCACAGAACAAAACTACTTATAGACTAGTTATTAACAGTTACAAAAATGTAGGCTCGGGCAAGGCCTCTCGCAGACATTTAGCAGGTGGGCCATGCATACACGCAGCAGTTTTCTTGGTCACTTTTCTCTATGAAATAACACGTGACACTTGTGGGGTTTTACATAAAAGACTCACGAACCTGAGATTAGGCACGCCTAAATGTTGTTTAGCTAATCTGGGCTGTCATATCACAAAAATTGCAGCAGATAGTACCGCTATCTCATTTGAATGGAGAACCCTTAGGCCCTGTTAGCTACCACGCTGGCTGTGTTTCAGTGGGGTGGGGGGGGGGGTGGGGGAGCATTAGCAAGCGCTTTTCAGTACTTACACTTTTCAATGACACGACTAGCCAGATATTTTAAATAACAACATGCAGCTAAGTTTCTACTATAGTATGACACTATTTTAGGTCAAACTATTGTCCATATGAGGTGCGGTCGTGAGTCTATAAATAACGTTATACAGCGTGCAACAACAGTTGTCATGCTGGCTAATGCTAGCCAGCTAGCTTAGCTACCTGGTTGCTGTAAGAAGCCATGCTCCCGGTGAGGTTCTCTCTCTCCCCCGCTGACAAGATGAAAACTCTCCCGGGAAGTTGTTGCAGGTTTGTAATGACAGTTACAAAAGATGTCCTACTCCGAAGTCATTGTCATTTTCCCAACGTTGTCCTGGCACTCGCAAATTTTGACCCATGTAAAGCATCAGCACTTCATGCTGATCGCCTTGCTGTCACCGCCATTTCTATCTAGCATCTTCCTCGCTTGCTAGCAAAGCCAGCGCGCGGTCGGTTGGTTGTAGTTACAGCGTGAGTACAAGGAATAACGGCAAACACTTCCGGTGGTTAATTCTTTTTGCTCTTCACAATAAAAGTCTCCATCTTTGCCCAGATGCAAGCAACACAAAAAGGATACAAGGAGACAACAACAAAGGTTAACTACACAGAACCACAAAACAGGAAAAAATTAAATAATTTAAAAAATATACAAGACACAAGAAACAGCTACAGAGAGTTTTAAAAAATGTCTACAAAGGTGAGGGGCAAAATAATCACAAGAAGATATAGCAAAGCTACAAACCATTTTCATTTTGCATGGGTCCCTTGCTCCTGTGTAGGAGAGGAGAGGCGGGGCGGGGGGGTCGGTCATGTGTCTATGCCCAAGGATACATTTTCCTATAATCTGTCCATGCCTGACTCTTTCAACCTGACTTTTCATATTTGTTGAAAATGTTTCGAATTGGACATATTTCCAAACAAAATAAACAAATTACATTTGCACAAACAACTGATAGTAATCCCAGAGCTTTGTGAACACTGAAGTCCTGAGGCCCTGGGTCAGTTGCCTGCTTTGGCTGGAAATCCAGCCTTGCTGGGAAGGTACTAAATGAATGGGGGGAAATGTGTAATAATCAGTGTTGCTCCATTTAGTAGCGATTAGTAATGGTCACTGACAGTTTACATTTATAGATAGGTTACTGAAGTAAGATAAACTTAAGTGGAAGTGGGGAATTATCTTACGCTTAATGGATTTCAGTTTGAACCTTGAACCATGGTCCAAAGTTGTTTTGACAACTCGACCTCAATTACATTGATCGCACTTTTAAGTCACATTTGTTTTGAAATATTTCTATGCCTTGCCGGAAATACTTAGATGTATATGATGATTAAAGCGTGACCGTGTGCTCTGTGCGTTTACGTCCGGGTTGGGGAATGAATCGCACATTTTTTGTTTATAAAAGTTGAGCGTGATTGAAATCAGTTATTTTAAAAATGCAATTTATGATTTTTATTTGTAAAGCTGATAGTGTCCTATAATATTTGAGTCAAGCCAACCAATGAAATAAATCTCGGTGACTGGTTTTATTCTTTCATAAACAAGACAGACATAAAAAAAGACTATTAGGCTAATAAAGTAACACGCTCCTACAGCCTACAATAGAATAGGCTACTGTACTGTATATTCATAATCTAAACATCCAATACACGGTAAGCTATTGTGACGTCGGAAAAGACACCTAAAAGCTTTAGAATAGCGATAGAAATGTCGCTGTTTTATTTGTCCCAAGAAATTAGAAAGTAGCTCGAAGCTAGTGGGCGTGGCACAGCACAGGTGTGTCAGGAGGGAAAGAAATCCCAAACACAGGAAGCTGAGAAAGGTGCGTTGTTATTTTCTCGACGTAAATGAAAGCAAGGCCATGAAGTGCACAGAAGCCAAAAGACGGAACTAATGTTCTTTGTATTTAAAGAGAGTACCTTTGTATTATTCACGAGCCTACGATCGTTTCGCTTTTACGTTTGTTTGTTTAATTAGATCTCCATTATCACAGTATCTATTCTTCCTAAAACGTGAAAGGGAAACCTTACGACAGGGAATACAGTTGCGTCGATATAAATTGTGAGCAATTTAAACAATAAGTCTATACTAAAGTGAAATTATATGTAATCACGTACATGTCTGGTTGAATTTATTAGCATTATGTTCTCCTTAAGTATGATCAGAATGTCCTACAGGGAAGTCTGTGGGTCTCAAAATCCTGTTGCTCGACTAGCCTTTTTCTGAATGAAGAAGCCTCTGTCTTTGATCCTTTACCTCTCCTTGCCAATTAATCTAATCTTTATTAAGTAATCTTCCTCACTGCTTTACTGTCCACAGTATCAGTTACAGAGCTGCAGGCTGATGATCCACTTTGTGTATTAGAGTCTGTAATAGGATTCATGTCCATAATCTTCTCTTGTAGGCAGAGGAAGATGCCAGAGAGGGGAAGACACCACCAGAGGAGTGATGAATATGCAGGGCACAGGAGCAGAGATAGGGACTATTCACAGAATGGGGACCACGCTCCATATGATAGTAGATATCACAACCAAAAGCCAAGAGACACAGACAGGAGTGCTCCTATTGATGACAGGAGGGCCAGGCACAACAGGCAGAGAGAAAGGGATCCGCCTGCTTACAGAGATCGCAGCCGTGGAAGGCCCTCAAGCCTGTAAGGGACCAAATACTTTATAAAAACTAGGCCCTGCACTCACTCTCATGTCTTTCACACAGACTGAAGATTGCATGAGGCAGGGTTTTGCAGTGTATTTAATGACAGTTTTGTGTAAAATGATGTATTGTTATTTGTTTTGTAGGTCCACAGAGACATCAGTGTATCACTCTTCAGTGGAGTATTATGAGCCACAAGACACACAAACTCTTTACAATCTCAAATATATCGTAAGCAGTAGAGGCAAGTATATTTATTTAGGGTTCATCTGTGAAATGTTAGTTGCCTGTTAGTAGGTTTTTAAATTGACCATTCTACTATGGAATGTTTTCTTTAAGGACTCTTGGGAACAGGCACAGAAATGATTCTGTTACCATTCATTTGCATTCAGGGCTGCTGATTATTAATTCATCTGCTGATCATTTCTCAATTTACTGATTTTTTTTGCCTATAGAATGTCAGGAAAATGTCAAAATATCCCTTGTAGTTACATATCTTGTTTTATCCAGGCAAAAGTCCAAAACCCAAAGATATTCACATTATTACTAGTATATATGACAAAGAAGTAGAGCATATCCACTTATCAGAGAAGCCGCAAACAGCAAATATTTGACATTCTAGCGTGATTAGCCACTGAATAAATCAACTTATCAACTGTTTACTTGTCCCTTGCATGGGGATATGTACATACACATTGAGAGCCGCTGTACCAGAATCAAATTCCTCGTGTGTCTGACACACTTGGCCAATAAAGCTGATTCTGAAATTGTGATTTCAGCTCTGCTCTCACAGCTTCATGTTGCTATAGGTTCATATCAGTATTGTGCTCATCCTGTGTCTCCCAGGTCTCTGCCAGCTTATGGAAATGTTTGTGAATCTGCTTATAATCATCTGTGCCGGAGTGCCATACAGCAACAATGGGGGTTACCGTGACCTGGCTAGTCTCGGTGGACTCTACTATTATTATTATGGTGGAGCAGGTGCCTTCACTGGAGCTGATGCAGACAAGGTGAATCAGCTGGATCAGCAGTTCCATCAGCTCCAGCGGCCTGTATACGCCCTCACCATGGCCACCGGTGGGGTTTTAATGATCTATGCCTTGGCCATGCTTGGCCTGGGAATTTTCAGAGTCCCTTACCGCTGGCCCCCTATGCTACTGGGTGAGGCTTTGCTGAACTTCCTGATCAGCCTGGGCTACATCCCCGCACTGGCCTTCTACTTTATTAAGCTGCAAGAAATCTACAGTAATCCTGTCTGCCAGGAGAGAGAGCAAATGTACAAGAGCAAAGGTCACCAGGGCTATGACTGCAAGTTGACCGGTGCTGATATCGCAGGAGGTCTCTTTGGGGTGCTGGGAGTGTTTGTTTTCATCTTTGGTGCCGTGTTAGCTGTCAGAGGTTTCAGGTCAGTGCGGGAGCTAAAGAGGCAGAAGACAAATGAGGACAATAATTTTTAAGTGGCCTTTTCTTCTTGAAACTTTCCAAGAGAAAAACATTTTTTTTTGTTATCAAATTAGGTGTAACTGTATTAACTCCTGTTAAATGTGATTGGTGAATCAGCAAGTCAAGTTTTTAATACCTTTGTATTACTCCTACTTGTTTACATATGGTGTCTGTTGTGTTTTATATACATATATACGGTAATTAGGATTATTTTTACTAATGACATTTATGTAGAAAAATAGTCTTTTTTTATGTCAAACTTTTATTTGTAAAGGACCATGTACAATATTAAACATAAATGTTGCCATTTGATGTATTGTACCAGAGTTCGCTTAAAACTCATTTTCATCTGCAGTTGCTAACTGTTTCATTGGCAAAAAAAAAAAACAAGCAATCAAGAAATCCTCGGTTTTTCTAGAAGAGTTGGTTGTGTAGTCGTATCAGCCTTCACCAGGTACAGTCTCTAGGGGTTTTCATAGGTTTAGATTTCTTTGGTAAAATAAGTTTTGTTGCAGGCCTAAGTCATTTAGCACTTTTTCAATATTATCTCAGTCTGTTGATCATTGGGCAGTCAAATCTTTTTACAGAAGGTGTTTGTGATAGACTGAGCTGCCTCGTTCATGGAACTAAATGTGTCTAGCACTTGGAAAGGAAAATGTCCAGATAACTGTGTCACCTGCATTTTCTGCATCAAGGGAGATGTGCAGGAAAGTGTCCTCTGCTTTGAAGTTGGAAGGTCTTATTTTGTCTTAATTTGTATGCATTTAAAAATGACAGAAGCCAAAATATATCAGTCATATGAAATAAAATAAATGATATAATGGCTCCTCTGTTTTCAGTCTACCTGAAAAAAGCAAAGCTTCAGACTTTGTTTGTCCCTAAAGGTCTTATATCACTTAGGTTAGGTTAGGTTAGGTTAGGTTACTTTATTTATACCCGTAGGTAAATTTGTCTTGCAGTCAGATCAAGTGACATCCTTGACACATTCACAAAATACAAGAATAAAATACAACAACACATAAAATAAAACCTGGCGCCTACACCGAACGTAATAAAAGTACTCAGGGCTCCACCAATCAAGACATAAAAGAAAGAAAACATCTGAAGAAAACCTAAAATTACTTACAATATATTACTACAGCCTATTTAACTCTATAACAGCAGCAGGGACAAAACTATTTCTATACCACTGCGTTTTACATCTCGGG